ACTTGGATGGCTTGTGATATGGACAGCGCTGTGCTGTTATATTTGTAATAGTAGGTTACCATCCGGAAAATACCTGTGTGGTTAAAAATATCAATAGAACAGATATGCGGGCATTTCTGGAGGTAACCAGAGTCCTGGCCAGTACTCCTGAGAATTGCCGACAGTCTTTCCATTTATTTCAGTGGCTGCTCTAAGGAATGTGAGAGTTAATTTTACAGGTGAATGGCCCCTCATGAGGAAAATAGTATCACCAAGTCATCGCAACTCAAGACATTGTGTGAGGCCCTCCCAGTCCTGGTGCCAGCTCTGATGCTGACCCCCAGGCTATAACCTAGATGCTATTAGGAATATTGCCACATCTGGGTTAGCCTGTGCTCTGATGGTTAGGTCACTGCGCTAGCACACCCAGAGAAGGAACAGAAGGATGTAACAGCTGGGGATGGCTGTGGCTGTGCTGGTAAGTGGAAACAGAGGAGGTTTGGTGATAGTGTAGCTGCTCCCATATAATGTGACAGAGACTGATAAAGAGGAGCCAACAGTTCAGTTGCTTTAGTGTTCCCCTGATAATCAGGAAACCCCACAACATGGGAAGCTTTGTCCTTTCCTGTCTCATTTACTGGTAAACTTGAATAATGAAAACTAAAACCAAACCCCAGATCCTATTTAATGTAATTATATAAATAAATATGGTTATTCAGTTCCACAGATAAACTCCTGGTGATAGAGAGGGTTTCTCCTCTCCTTTTTGACTTCATTCTTTTGGTTCAGTTGAACATCCTCTTATACTGCATCAGGAGTAGGAGCAAATAACCTCAGTTAGTTGTCTTTGCTGCTAAAGAAACCATTTCAGCATTTACAGTTGCTCTTAAGGATCTTCCCCACTGCTCTTCCTCACACTTTTGTGTGGGGTCCTGATTGGGGATTGCTGCTGCTGCTGTGCCTAATAGGATTATAAGATTTTCAGCATTAATCCTTATCCTATTCTTTAGGAAGACTAACCTTTTACTTAGATTTTTGCCTTCTGTTGCACAACTAGTTGACTTTTCAGTGATTTCTTTACAACTGCTGCTTTGTCCTTTTTCAAGGCAATTGTAATTGATGTAGACCTCCAGCATGGAGCAGTGTAAGAATTGTTAGACTTGTGGTTATTTGTTTAGTGCTGCAAGTGAATTTTTCCTAACTCACTGACGAATGTCACTACTTCCTTGCCTTTCCCTGTACCCTGAGGCTATGTTTTTGTTTTAGCCCAGACTGTAGGAACACATCTCTGTAGCTTTAAACATAGCAACTGCTACATCAAGCTCTGGGAATCCCTGGTTTGCTGATCAGGATGTCTGATTCTGCTTTTGCTTGGAGGGTAAAAGAGCCAAGGTTTGCCAGGGTACATAGCTCATTCAAAGGAGCTTTGAAAGATGGAAATGGGTGGGGAGTGGGTTGACTCTGTATTTGTGGCCTGGTTTCCTAAGGAAATGAAGCTTAAGCAGTCTGTTTTTTCCACTCCTGTGAGCTTTTGGATCTGCAAAGTGATTGTGGCCAATATAGATGGGTCAGAGAGGTCTCAAATATTATGTTTCTACATTATTCACATGAATTAGTTGCTGGATACTAGATTGTCTCATAGCAGCACCCACCAGGAGGTAAAAGCTGCAGTGTTAACTCCATAGGTAGGTTATTAATTTGGCTTGTCAGCCGGCAGGCACCAGTCAGGCAGTCAGTGTACCATGGAAGGAGTCATAGCATGTGTGATTTCAGGACAACTGGAAGCTGTAGGAGGGAACTGGGGGACTGTGTTGCGATTCTGGGGATATCTGAGGAAAGCTGAAGGTCCTGCGTTGTGATTCAGAGAACATCAGGTAGAACTGAAGTGTTGCGGAAGAGGATTAGAGAGATGAGGAGGAACTGGGGAATGATGTGGCTGGAATTTGTGTAGCTTGGGCTTCTACCTCTCAAACTGTGGGCTGTCAGGATAACTGTCAGGGAACAGTTTGTTTCAGAGGCGATGGGCTGATATGCAATGGAGGAGCAAGGAGCGCAGGAGCTCCAGGGTGTGGGAGAAGGCATATGAGGAACAGCAGAGTAAGAAGCTGGTGGCACTACTGTAATTAAAGGAGAGAAAGGACTGAGTTGGGCTGTGATCAAAGATCAAACTGATGGTAGTTAGGAGCAACATTTTCCAGGCACTGGAAGGCTGGAAAGGAGACTTTGTCAAGGAATGACTTAGTGACTTGGGCAGAGGGACAGAGAATCAGCCTTGGTTTTGTGTATAGCGTGCAGGAGGAGTGATTTGGCAACAGTCTGAGCGTGGGGATGGAAGAAGGCAGCAATCAGTGATAACTTCAATTACGCAGGAAGCTTGGATGAAGGGGAAGAGCAAAGTCTTCAGCAGGGGAGAGGAACTGGGGGAAGAGAGAAAGAGTTGAGGTGTATGTTTGAATTAAGTCAATTGTACTCAAGCCCACTGGAGAAGGCACTGGAGAAGATAACTTCAAGACACTTTTTGAAATATGCCAATGTGCAGGTATTTGTCTCCAAAACCCTGAATAAGCTTTACAGAAATGTTTGAATGTCTTTTATCTTCTGTTTGTAGGGTGTTCCCAGAGCTTAAGTGACTCCAAGCCACACAGTAAGCTATAGCAATGGCAAGACTGGGATCCAACATTCCTTAAAGCAGTTTTTGGTCGGGTAAACCATAGCAGTAATAAATGTCCATATATGCACACAACATGCTACAAGGCAAATCAGTGAAACTCTCAATCTCCAATTTAGGGAGAACACATCACCTTATTAACTGTCTCTTGCTCTGCATATGCAAAAGTATTGCACAGTTTCCTGTGCTCCCAGGAATTCTTTTCAAGTGTTTATTGTCTGCAACTAATTATTTTCCAGTGATCCTGTAAACTGTTTGCTTCTTCAGGATCCAGTTACTTTCTGTTACCAGCACAAACTGAGGAAATGAATATTAATCATTCAGTGATTATTTGCAGGAAATAAAAGCGTGCGATAGCTGCCAGCCTGAGCCAAGAAGGAAGGACAGAAATGTGGTACTTTTTATAAATAGAGCCAAAAATATTATTCATGTGCTCAGCTGTTAGCTTTTGAATATTGTGGAGCTTTCTTCCTTTTGTGAGCTCTGCCTTCTTTGGATTAGGTCCTACTACCTTTGAACTCAGAGGGAATATTTGTTATTAGCTTCAGTGAGAACACGATCAAGCTATTGTCTGTGTGTTCTTCTTTGCCTTAACTGGTGTTGCTGTTTGTTAAGATACCGCAAGGGACAAAAATGTGTTCGGTTTCCCAGAATCTTTCTGAGCATTTGTATTTAATCCCTGCATATAGCACAGCCCCTGTGGGTGAAATAGGTTCAGAGCGGACTGTTTCCATCTAAGCTTTTTGAAGCCAGTGTGAAGCCTCTGTAAAATACTGAATCTCCTTGCTCAGTAGCTGCTTTTCTGAAGTCTGTATTGTGCTTCAGGTTTTGCTAAACTATGCTACAGTAAGCATGATGAATAGCAGACAAATTGTCTTTGGTCACTGCTTTGGAAATCAAGATGTGTGCTGGCTCGCTCCCTTCTTTCACAAATACCTTCTTGAGCTACGGGAAGTACGATGGTGCACCATATCCCAGAATGTTAATTTTTAATGTCTTACGCACATAATGGACTCAACTGTAATTATGAGTCCCACAGCACACTATTGCTACTGGCAGTATGGAAAAGACAACTGCGGGGCCATGTGGCTCCACAATTAGGGATTGCAACATTGATCATTTCCATTCCCAAGAGCAGCAAAAACAGCTGTGTGAATTTAAAGCAAAAGCTCCAATGGAAAGAGGGATAGCTGCAAGCCAATAAACATTCCCCTGCAGTCTATTAAATTCAGACTTTGCAGCATCATCCTACTGCATTGAACTGACTGAAACCTGGGCAGGGCAGAGTGGTTTTGACAAGCCTATGCTTATGTCCAGAATAATTGAAGTGAATAAGCAGCTAGGCAGTGATGCAGCGAGGAGTTAGTATAAAAAATTCTCAACACTTTTTTTCTCAGTAGTGCTATTTTTAACTTACAGTTCCTTATTTCTTTCTTGCGTGACATCTTGAAGCTGACAGCATGCTTTTCAGACTTGAAATGAAAAAATACTGTCTGAAATATTCATAGAATGGTTTGGGTTGGAAAGGACCTTAAAGATCATCAAGTTCCAACCCCCCTGCCATGGGCAGGGACACCCTCCACTAGAGCTGGGATTTTTAGGGCTGATCCTGTTGGCATATCTTGGTGGGCAAATTCTTCCCCCTTTGATGAGACCAAATAGACTTTATCAAACTGTGGAAAAATGACTGGGGGGGAGCAGAAATTAGTTTCTCGAAGGTAATGTCAATATCCTAACAGAAGTTATAATATAATAAGAAAAATCTTCAGGGTAAAGTAAAACACAGTTGCTGTTTTCTGGGACGAAGATGCTGCTGGCGTGTAAAGAATTAATTTCCCCAGCAACACATCCTGCTATCTTGGCACGTGCTAAGAACAGAATGGTACGGGATGGGCAGAACGTGGAGGATGAAATGGGGTGTAGGCTCCACGGTTATGCTCTGTGATGTTCCCATACAAAGGATAGGAATACTTTGAGCCGATAAGCTGCATAACAGCTGTCCAAGAAAGATGGCAGATACTGTGCCAAGCACTGTGGCAAAATCTTCCTATGTGGCCTTTTTTGTTTGGTTGGTTTTGTGCGTAACTCACAAGATACAGCTATGGAAATCATTGCAAAAGGAAGGTCAGCCTGAATCCCTGCTCTTCATTCATGTCACTGGCAATAGTTTCTCTGAATTCAGTGATGCAAATCACTCCTGTACTGTACTAAGTGCACTCAAGCTTAAATCAAATCCTAACACTTTTTACTAGTGCAATAAGCACATTTAACAGACAAGGGGAAAAAAAAAATAATCTTTCTCTGTGACAGGAAATCAATTTAATCCATTTCTCTGTTTTTCTTCCAGGCTTATATTTGGCACTCTTTACCCTGCATATTATTCTTACAAAGCCGTGAAATCAAAGGACATCAAAGAATATGTGAGTAGTGAGGTTTGTGGCTGTGCTGAAGGGTTTGTTTTCTAAGATTGCTCCTCACCACATTGTAACGGTGTTGCCTGTGTTCTGGGAAAGCTCATAAACCAGTGCAAGGGAAACACTGGCCAGACTGTCCGATTCCTAGGCACAAGTCTCAAATAAGGAGACTCTGGTTTGTGCTTCTAGCTCCTCTGCAGAGTTGATGTGCTCTTTGACAAATGTGTGCTATTTCTCTGGTGGTGTGAGCTATATACAGCCGAGTTGAAAGGTGTTTGGCATCCAGAGCTTTATGTGTTTTCCTTTGTTTCTGAAGAGCAGCATAAATCAAAGCCTTTTTAAAAAGCCTTAAAGCTTTAGCTGCTTATTCAAAACAAGGATCAGAGGAGGCAACTTGAAGCACATATGACTGAATCCTCAGCTAGAAACATCCATACTTGTGGAGCGACCTGTTTACAGGCAAGTCTGGCAACTGGGTGTGCTGTCTTGTCCTTTTGCTGAAAAATCTTCCCTGGGCCCCAGTTTCTAAAGGCATGTGGGGCCATCAAGAAAAATGAAATGTGGGAGAATCAAAACCACTTGGATGCTGTTGGGGTCCTGTAGGATTTGTAGTGCCCTTCACAACCTGAGCTCTGTTAACTTCACTGAACCTGACTCAGCCTCCAGATCTTGACTCTTCAATCCTCTCAAGATCCCATGGATAACAAGCCCGTTTTCTCCTCTGTGTAACAGCATAGATGGCTATCCCATTAAGTCCTTAGTGTAAGCTCAAACTGGGACTTACTGTGGCTGCTGAGATTTTTCCTTTCTATGAGTCCCCTCCTGCAGATAATGGTTGTGGATATTTTGAGAATCATGTTACAGAACACATCAGACACTTAAGGCAAAATGTCACTGCAGCACTTGCACAGCTGTGCTTCTCAGGGTTTGTACACCCTTTCCTTGGAAATGCTGAAGACCTATGCTAGCATCCCCAAGCAGTGTCTGCCACTCAGCATTTCCATAGTCCCTGTCTGGGAAGTCTTTTGTTGAAGGGTCTAATTCCTGTTGGAAATTCAATTGCAAAAGAGGAACTTGCATCAAACACAAGGGGTCATGACCCAAATGTGGTAACAGCTGATCTAAGACCTGGTCTGCACTTATGATTGATTTTCAGTTTAACACACCAGTTGTGGCAATATGTCCATTAGGGGTCTGGTTAAAAAAAAAAATAAAAATAACAAGTAATTTACACCAAGACAGTATAAACCTTCATTTACTAGTCAAAACTTATATCACTGTAGTTGATTTTTATTCTGCTTGCTAATAGTCATTTTGATAAATGGTGTTTTAGGCTGATCCAAGCCTATCTGCAGCAGATCTTGGTTTGTGTTTAAAAGTTTTGCTGGCAGTAATGTCTGACAGAACTGTGCTGCCAGTGCGGCTTTGAGGCAGTCGCAGTTATGTAAAAAGTCTGGCAGAAGCTGCCCTGGGAAGACAATGTTCTCCGGCATTTGGCAGCGCCATTCTACTGCTGTAACACTAAATATAAATATACATATGAATATACATATAAATATACATATAAATCCTAGGGAAGCAGTTATATAGCTGGGTGACAGGTGCTCAGGGAATGATTTCAGTACCTGCAGGGAGATGGAGAGTGACTGACTACAGGTCCTGTCCCTACTGCGTCCGGGAGAAGATGGAGCAAGCCATTTCAGGGCTTCTGAGATCCAGATTTATTGCCACTGTCATCCTCCCTTCCCTAGAGCAGCACGTGGTGTACGTATCCCTCTTGTACTGCCTCCTTTCCAGCCTTCCCTTGTTGTATTGCTATTATCCCAGCCTTAGGTAGCAAGGTCCAGTTCTCTAATTCGTGAATATTAATGGCTTTTACTTCCTTAAGCTTTCTAACGTTCCGGCAAAGCTGCTTAGGAATCTCCATTTTCAGACAGAGCTAATTAGACAACAATTTTCAGTTACATTAACAACTTTTGTCTTACCATTTCTTTTCCTTTGGAGAGACAGATTCTTAAAGCTGTTTGAACTTTAAGTTTTACAGTTTTACAATAGAAAAAAATATTGAGGGGGATAAAAATTTTCTATCTCATCTCCAGTACTTGGAAATGATTCCTTATATCATCTTTGTGGTGACAGTGCCACAGAAGAGGAGCACCACATCACTTGATAAAAATCACTGGAAGTGCTGATGGTGTGTGACAAATACATTGTTTCTTTCTAGCCCAAGTAGAACCAATACTGCATCCATCAGAACAGTTTAGCTGTGCTTTCAAATGCCATTTAGTGCTCAGTGACAAAAATCCCCAGATTCCTGAATTACTCAAGATAGTACAGGTTCACTGACCAAGTCACAGTCCCCAAAGACTCTTGTTGTGTCTGTCACTATCACCACAAAGGAGACCGTCCGTAAATCACCCACCAAGCAGTCCACCCCACAGTGGAGTTACCATAGTTGAACACAGTGACAGCACAGCACATGCTTTCAGTACCAGTATGAGGTAAAATGCTCTCACCTAAGCCCTAGGTAAGACATTTAAGCTAGTGCTCTTGCCCCTGTCACTGCAATGGGCTCAGGTTGTGGATGTGAGGAGGCACCGCCACTCAACTGGTGCACACTAATTCAGTAAGTTGCGTTGAGTTGGTTGTGCTCCTGAGTCCTGGATCATGGGATGGGCAGTTAACTGTGTCTCTTCCTGGCTGGTTTCCCCTGCCTGTAGATATTATGTAAGTAATTACATTTTGTCTCAGTTGCAGTTTGGCCAACACCCTAGTATTAACCTTTGTTATTAAGATGAGCCAAGTAAGATTTTTAATGCCCTGCGATAGGGCTGTGGTCCTTCGCTGACCAGTGGAGCTTCCTCTGTAGAGACAGAGTCAGGCTGTTCTTCTTTTCATGAGACCAGTCCTAAAGGCCACAACTTTCCTTCCCAAGGGCTTGTGTGGAAAACTGATGTGTGTTATGTGCTGAGGTGCTGGGAACTCTGGCATCTTCAAGTCTGTGGTAATTGGTAAATACACAGGGGGGTGGGGGAAGAACCTTTTTTTCTGTGAGAGTTATTTTGTGCACTTGTGCTTGTAAGAAATAGTTCAAGGCCCTTGGGGAAAAATAACCCAGCTACTGTTTTTGTTTACCAGGTCAAATGGATGATGTACTGGATCATATTTGCGCTCTTCACGACAGCAGAGACATTCACGGATATCTTTCTTTGCTGGTGAGTACCAGATGGGAGAAGGCCTTTGGCATCAGATGGAAAGAAAATGGAAATGTTTACAGGAGAGAAAAGGGGCACAAAGGTGCACTGCCTCCTGAACAAGGGGTTAGCAGCTTCGGGTGCATAGAGGTGTTTTGTCTGGAGGAGCCATGCTTCTCAGTGCTGTCGTAGGAAAAGCAAGAAAGGAGATGGAACTGCTCAGTGATAGCTCATTAGTGAGAAATCACTGCAGCAGCCTCAGTCCCCTGCCTGTCAAGAGAGAGGCGCAGCTGACTGCCAAGCTGGTTACCACGTAAACAACAGCAGCTTTAGCTACAGGCATAGTTCTAGACTTACCTGTCTGTGTCCTACAGTAAATACACAGACCCCAGAGATCAGGCAGAAGAAGCCCTGCAGCACAGAACTTTGTAGGTTGCTGTGTGGGTGGTTGTCCTGGGATGTTTTGGCAGGCTCGTTCCTGGATTTACGGTTTGGTGGAGGAAAGTGACAGTCCATGCTGATGTGGGCTCTCTGGTGCCAGTGGAAGGATTCCTGGTGACCTCTGTCGGGATGGGAGCACATAAATGCCCAATTGTCAGATTCAGATCCTTAAATCCAGCTGCTTAAGTTGTTGTTTGTTTGTCCTTTTTATTGAGGCCTTTCTAGCAGAAACCAATGAGATCAGCAGAATTCAGGATGAAAATTTAACTGTAGCGCATGCCCCTCATTTAAAGCCTGTTCCTGTGTAGCACTGCACACCTCTAGTGAGTCTTACAGACAAGAAATCAGAGATTCTTGGCAACATGTCAGATCTGTTGAAAAGGAGATAAAAGACGTTATTGTCTCTATCTAATTTGCATGCAGATCTACCCCCACTGTGTTCATCTGGAGCTTTGGTTTTTTTTGGAGGATGTATTATGTGGGTCTCTCAGGAGGAATGACAGAGGGCTTGTCCAGCCTGTGAAATCAAGTGTGCTGTATAGATCCTCAGTGAGGTGGAAGACCAACCTGGCAAATCCATGCCCAGAGTAAAGCATTGCAGAGGCCCATCGGGTCAGACCTGGATGCTGTATGGCCCAGCTGGCTTGGTGACAATCCTGTGCTAGCACAGCAGGAGTTTGTCAGGGTCCAGCTGGGCTGGTGCACAATCGTCACAGAATCTCTGTGCTTCTCTTGCTTACCCTGGCCTACAAAGGGTAACCTTGATTCTTCACACTGTTGGCAGCAACGTGCCTGCCTGCCTGAAGATGCTGCTGGCTGGCCAGCCTTGAGCTCTAGAATTTGTCCTCCAGGAAAGAGTCTGCATAATCTAATCTCAAAAAGTCCCTGGCTTGTTGTTACAGCTAAAACACGTCCTGTTGTTATTTAGTATCCTGCATATTTTGCAGTGCTACCTGAAAGCCACCGTGTGGATCTGCACCTTCATGTTGCATGTTGCTTGGACAACAGAGGTTCTTGTATTTCAGTTTCAGTCAGATCGGTGTTATCTTAAAAGCAGAAATGCACAGAGATGAAAAGTGTATAAACATATCATTAAATACTGATTTGCTGGTTTGCTCTTTGCTCCCTCATAGTGACTCGGAATGCTGTGAAGGCAGCATCTGTGCTCTTTGCGTGTAGAAAGGTCTTTTTATCACACAGCAGAGTCTCTTCCAGACCATTAAATAATGGCTGATACCTGAGTAATGATTTACCCACATACCTGGTTGAGATGTGTGCAAAGGTGAGTGAATGTCTTTTGGTCTTTGGATTCTTTAGTAAGCAAAAGCTATCCCAAGCTAGACTGGCCAGTCCCTTCCTTTGCTGAGCATCTCTCATTATGGGCAGTGGTTAAATTGTGAGCAGACATTAACAGCTCTTTTTCTTCTAGGTTTCCATTCTACTATGAACTCAAAATAGCTTTTGTAGCTTGGCTGCTGTCTCCATACACGAAAGGCTCCAGCCTCCTGTACAGGAAATTTGTTCATCCAACACTGTCTTCAAAAGAAAAGGTAATCACAGGTGCCCGAGTCCTCTCTGGGTGGAGCAGATCTACAGAGTGTTTACTCCAGTCTTCACATCACTTGTTTTCATTGAAGGACTAGGAGTTGCTGATTCCCTTCCTTTATCATTTGATCATCTCCTTTTAGTTGGTGTTTTTGTCCTTTGTGGTTGTTGTGTTTTTAAATACTGGCATCTGTTCAGCGCACTCATGCGTATTAACTCATCTTTGTGCACTTGAGAAGTTGGGAGGGAGGGGGATAAAAATACCTTCTGAGCTGCTTTGCACATACTGTCTGGGTATAGCAGGAGTGCTATGTTGTGGCTGGATATAACACTTAGAGAAACAGGGTTTGGCAGCCAGGGCTCCTTAACTTTGTTCCCCACTCTTCCTAAAACATTATACAGCAATGAGACAAATAGCTAAGCCTGTCTGAAAGGGGCTTAGTTAGCACTTGCCTGGCTGGGAGACGTATAGCATGCTGAAGTGAGGCATGTAGCATGTTGAGGCCCTAGACTGAGAAATATCTTGCTCAAATTCATGATGCTAATTTCCTGGGGGGACATTATGGCTTTTTATGACATTTACCTGCCTAGGAGGTTCCTGTGGCTGTGAATGGGACATTGTCAGGCAGATCCCTTTGGCTCATGTGGATACATGGGCCATGAATAGTTACCAGTCACGTATCAACATGCAGACTACTGAGAAGGGAATAACT